ATATACATTTGCATTTGCTACATTTGCATAGCCGCGTACCGCGCACAACTCAAGCAGCCACCTCCACCTGTCCATCGGACAGCTGATATTTACACTTGCACCATAGAATTTGCAACTTGTTAACATAGCATAGAATTTGGATCAACGCCTTGTTTCCTGTTTCCTTGCAAAAATCGTACGCTACGCCTACGACAAACTAAAACGGCTCCGTTTTCTCTTAGATCGCACAAAAACATGTTTGGTATTAAAATTCTTGCCTTTTTCTCATTCTTTTGAAATATCGGTTGTTGGTTTCTGTTTATGTCGTCCACTGTATACCGTGCTCAGGGTCGTGGTTTATACCAAAAGGTCACCTTGTAGCGCCTTCAACAGCAAAGGTAACTACGAGAATTCAGGTCAGTTCTTTAACCGTTCGCATGTTTTTGCGAAGCCCTTCTCCAGGTTAAATTTTATTTTGATCGGCTACTACATCCAATTCGCACAGGAATTAATGCTCTTGCCATCTGTAATACCGAAGCGGCATCAAATTATCAATACAAAAAAGTATCTTTTAAGACAAAATTTCAAATCAAGTTTAAGGACAAGCAACAATACTGAGCGGCGAATAAAAGCGCGGCAGCTGCTAGAGCATTACAACTCGAAGTGGGAATATGTAGTAGCAACTATTTCCATTCCACGATTCCTTCTCCAGAATATCACGTACATGCGATCACACAATTATATTTAAATACCATCTGAATCAGTATGCCAGTCTGGAATAGTACAATATCGATTGGGAAAAATTATACCTGACTCACTTGAGTTGTAACGCAGTACCACATATGTACAATGCGAGCAAGAAAGGAAGCTACGGGTTTAGGGTGTGCGTTCTAGCGAAGACAGTGAAAACCGGTTTGTACAGCTCGTACGCGCACAGACAGCCACACTCATACGTGTGTAAGTGAATGCGAGCGGATTAACCCACTCGCACACACATGTGCCGCTCGATCGATACAGCAAGGCAGCATTCAGCTTGCGCTTTTTGGCAGCACTGGAATCCGCTGTCTTCGGTCTGTTTATAGTCACAACAGAGAGGCTGCATTGATCAACCAGCCTCAGCGGGCAAAAAAGGCTGTTCGCTGGCTTTTTAACATAGACCGTAGCGTCCTCATTTAGTCAGATTGTACGTGTGATAATTGCCAGCAGCAGATTATTGTGCGGAATGCGGCGAGCTGCAATACCAGTTCCGATAATTGTATCATTCCCTTGCTCCGCCAGAACTACTCCAGGACGCCGTGTTGATTTTATCGCTGTGTTGCTGCAGCAATCGTTTTTGCAGAGCTCGATGATGCTCGTATTTTTCCGCTCCTCCTGAATGCTAATAATAGACTTAACTCATGCTGTACAATTTACCGGTATTTTCTAGTCTGTTTACTATTTGCAAAGATGTTTCTCGTGAATGGGAATGTTGTCATTCTGTTAACGCTTGGGACGATGATAGCCGTCTCGGCAACCACATCAGCATCCAGGGAGCCACTACCTACAATGTCATGCGGCCAGCTCGATCTATCCGCGTCCACGGCTGAGAAAATTCATTCAGGTTCTGGCGGATTGGGTTGCTGCTATCAGGTAATACTGTACCAGTAAAACTGTAAAGCATTTCACTTTGTTCGTGCTGAAATGGCATTGCTTTTCTTTACTGCAAAAAGAGGTCCTTTAACTCCAAATCCTGTTCCAAGTTGCAGCAAATATTTTTCAAGTACAGATTGTATACAATGTTTTATAAATCGGTGGCATTCATTCGTAAAATGTTTTACGACATGTGACCCATAAGTTAGTTACGGTATTATTATGCATGTACGGTATGATAATATATTTTTAAGAAAATACGTGGAGCCTAAATTTTCCATGATCTTTCTAGAAGCACCTAGAAGAAAAATGAGTGCCGCTTTTTTGATTGCTCGATAAATAAAAATACAGACCATACAATTTGTTGGGCCACGGTTTTATAATAGCAAGAACCTCCGTTTGCTGGCTAACGTGATCCATCTAGATCAACGTTCAGCATGCACCACAGGAGGCACCATGAATACTTCCTCGGCGCCGTGTACCGTCCATGATTCAGTTTCCATCCGTCCACCACTGAGAACTCCACAAACCGGATCAATCCCAGTCGGAAGATGATGACAGTGAACTCTCTGTGATAATAAAACGCTTTGTTCAGAGCATCGGACGTTGGGCCAATCGTCATACGGCTTGGGCTTCTATCACAATGTTGTCTGTTAGCTTTTTGTTTACATTTGGAGTTATATACATTTTATTTGTCTCATTGCGCCTCGTTATTGGGTGTACCCGGTAGTTTGCTGTTCGTGGGTTGTTGATAACGATTTGAGCAGAAAACTCATTTGTCCGGGACTGAGGGCCACTGTGGGCATCCTAACTGCTGTCCATCCACAATTCAGTAGTCTCATAACTGATTGTCACTTCTGTGCTTCTCAACTTTTTGTCTCTAATTTATTATGCTAAAAGCTTACCATGACCTTGTTTTTAAATTGATGTTGAAACGTTCGCAAACGTCCACAAATTAAATTAAAAACTGATTTCAACGTGGCATGCTTTTTTTTTTGGTTTTCCGCTTTTCTGCAACCTGGAATTTTTGCAACTCTTCGTCGATAAAAACCTTGTCGTTGGCCGATTCCGGCGCACGCAAGTCATATCCTATCTTACAGCCAAGGAGTGGGGACAACAAATTTTGGATTCCGTAATTTTCGGTATTTTTGCCAATTCGGAAACTGACAGATTTCTTGCTAAATAAACCGCATTGGTTTGAATATGGGTGAACATGGCAGAACGAGCTTGCTGGGAAATATAAAAATGGGGAAGAAAACTTGAGGAACGCCCTCCTAATATAATCGTTTATAAGTTTTGTCACCAGAGTGCCCACGGTTATGTTACGCACTGCGCAGCGACTCAGTGCGAGCTAATAATATTTCTGTTTTCGTACAGTACATTAGAGATAATTTTTCAAATATTGTACATCAGAGATAATTTTTTCAATAGCTTTCTTTGACGATTCATAAAACTATAACTGGACACTACTGCTTAAAAACTAACACGGAATAAAATGTTTATAAAATAATAAAATTATTATAAGGAATGAAATCAGAGCAGCCTGTATATGGCCTTTGACCTTATCATGCAATGTTACGCGTGGCAAAGTGCAAAAAACTGCCGCCGCAATTGCCACGGATAACGGCAATACTAAAACGGTGTATTCGGTTTTACAACAAGGACGTACAACTTTTTACAACAAGGACGTACAACTGTACAAGTTTCCTCAGTTTGCGAAACCCATGCGCAGTGTGCATTAAAATTATTTCCATGCACAAAAATATGCATAGTAGTTTAATAAAGGAGAGCGGACTTCATAAATGTGTTACATTCATGTAACCACAAAATCGCACGCAACCAGGTACATATCTGTTGTGAAGCAGCCATTTCCGGCTGGCCATCGAAAAAAATATAAATCCTGTCGACTTGTAAAATCGACTTATAAAATTAAATCCTGTACGCCGTATGCTGCCGTTGGTGTTTCAGCAGTAATAATTTTAATCTAGAAATTTTTTGATTTTTCTTTTTCTCCGTTTCAAGAACTCTTTGTTAGAATGGCTTAACATGACAAGCGGAAAATATGCTTATATAGATTAAATGCAAGCGGTATGTACACGGTATGCAGAAGAAAAAGATGCTAAGAAATTATGGGAAGTGTTGGTCTTTGCAGTAAATTGTCGGTCCCGTACCGAATGAAGAATTTTTCTGAAGTCCGCTGTATCCATGAGACACAGAAACAAAAGCTCGAAAATGAAAAATGAATAGTTATGAAATTTCGGTACACTGATTTATGAAACGAACGAAATTCAGCTAGAAACAGACTTAATCAGAATTACAGATATAAACACGACACCACGGACTTACAGAACACGACTGTTTTTTTTTTAAATACTCTTCCCTCGATTTTACCAGAGCACTTGATGCATTTCCCTTTTTCGATAAAATACTGGTCATTCACAGCAGGCCTCACAATTACTACTGCACAATACAAGCTGGGAGCATATTATTATTGTGCAATAATACAATAATATTATTATTGTTCTGGTACTAAGTTGCTTACGAAGATAAGTACACGTGACAGCAAGATCTATTTATATCATTTACCTTTAGAATATATTCCACCATATGCTGTGCAATTGTCGCAAACATGCTAAGCCTCGACTGTTCGGTATATTTTTATAAATATAAATCTCACTGGATTACGACGATTCTGATGGTAGCATTACTGTGCACGCGCATTGCGGTACACTAATCAATCGATAGTGTTCCATTATATTAATTTAATCTTTCAATCTCAGCGCGCCATTTCCAGCATCGTCTTTACAGAAACGTCTTCTGCAAATGCGAAAGAGCCGTTGGCAAGAAAACAGCTGGATTACTTGCGTCCCGTGCAGTAGAAGGTCATCTTGAAGAATGTACATCCATCCTGACAAAAAGCAATCAAAGTGTACTGCGCACAAAACGAATGATGAATTTGACGGAAATCTCGGTACGATACGCACCCGATGGGCGCCATGGCACCATGAGAATTGTGGTCAACATTCTGATTAATTATTTACACCAAAAGTCTCCTCGATGTTTACTTAACCGGCAGCGACTTTTAAGACGAAATCGCAGTATTGCGGTAGTTAATAGACCGACATCAATTACCATGGAACGCGTTTATTTTGAAAAACAAAATGAAAGATGCTGTCACGCGACCAAAGCTGGTTTCGATCGGATAATTAGTGTTGTGACGAAGAGGTGCTGCTAAAGCAACAGTCCCCGAACTGCTTTTTCAACGATACGAGGAAGCTTTTAGCTGTGCATGAGTTATGGTAATAATGTTTTGCGGCTATGTTTCTTTCAGAGCTGAGAGAATACGGAACGTAAATTCATTCGATTAGGCATTGCAGTTGTCCCGTTCGTAACAAAAGAAATAAAACTGCAATTAATTATACCGGGAAACAGCATGCACAGTTCAAGACAGATCTGCAGTTATGACATGGCAATGGCAAGCGGATAAAAAAATCACAATACGGTAAACCGATTAGATAACTGTAGAAAGATGGAGGTCGTACTCGCACCCATGCAATAGCGCCTCAATTATAAATCTATAAATGTCGGTAACGCAGGCCAGGCGATGACAGGTACTGAAAGGTACAACTGGTATGCTTCCAAATAGCAACAAATTCGGAATACTAGGCCGCTTTAGCGGTTTTCAACGTATATTTCAGCCAGCGTTAAGACAATGTAGGTAAACTGCATGAGGACATTAAATGCCAGCGTCATAAGTGCTATGATAGTCAAACATTTTAGCAGCAGCTTGATTTTCTCGAAGCCTACGCATTCGTCCATGGCGTTCAGCAAATCCTCACACGCTGTCAGGAGGCAGAAGGACAGACAGGCTAGACCCACGATCATCAGAATTGTCATAGGAAGTGGGTACACTTCATACATCAGCTGCAGGACGGGGATGACTCGTCTGTACCATGGCTCCATCCACCATCGCGGGCCGCGGTGGATCGGTGTTGGGTTGTTGCCGTTGACGGTGGGGAGGCTTTGTGGAGTACTGTTAAGGGACGCTGCGTCTTCGAGGAGTTGAATCAAACGATCCCAATCGCGGGCAAATTGACGGGCACGCAGACTGCAGAAACACTGTGCTTAGCAAAAACCATACCCATGGGATCATTTTCAATTTTATGACACTTAAGCGTGCCGTTAAATAGTACTAAATCCGTGCACATGCGCGGAAACGTTTGTCTTCGCGTATTTTCGAGAAATTTCTCGAGTAATGTTTTCTGTCATTACTTCGGTGTTTCTCATATTCCGGTCACTTTAACTGTACAGTTTCGCATTCCGGTCACCAGGTAGGAAAACGTCCTAACAAAACAAAATTCACAGAAATGGTAAATTTTTAGAAATACAACCTCTCCTTAATTTTGAAGCGTAAACATCAATAAATTTACTAACCAAACAAAACAGATAACAGAAACTCTAAACCGGGTGAGACTCTAAAGACCGGTGACCGGAATATGACAAAAAGCGAAGTATTAACCGAATCACCTACAATAATAAAAATTTTTATTAAAACCGTTTCTACAGGCATTACCCGGTTAGGAATTTCGTACTGAAAAAATATTTCCAAAAAGTTTAAATGCAGACAGATATGCCGTCAGTTCTCTTTACAGAACCAGTTTTCTTGCACTTAAACTGTTACTGCACTTAAATATCAAGGTCGTTTCCCCATCGAACCAAGTTCCCAGTTTTTTTTTTCAAACTTCGAAATAAGTTTTGCAAGTCTTGAAACGCATTCTAAGATACATTGGGCTTTATGACGTCGAAGGAAGAAAGGTAAGACTGTTCGATGGGATTCTAATAATATGTCAATGGCAATGCAAACCATTTTATGAACTGCTGTCATTAAATTAGTATGATTACAATCAAGTTATCCATTAGTTTTACAACAGGGAAGAGATACCTTCGCAACTGTTCGCACACTGCCGACTTCTCCATTTTCAATACGGCTAGGATGGAGTCATTTAAGTTTCCGCACACGTCAACAGGATCCAGAAATTGCACACCGCTAATGTTATACCAGGTAACTTCGCCATGTACCGCTGCGATAAGAGCCAAAGCCGATAGAATCACAAGATATGCATGATGCGCTTTCATTTCCGAAGAATACCGGTTCTATGAAGAACGCGGATGAAGTGGACTGACAATGCAGAGAAGCAATGCGGGATGGATTGTGGAATGTGGTTACCCAAAAGAATAGAACTACCGGTATATGTTTTGCTGTTACGACCGTTGCTTTCTGTTGCTCTGAATGTCGATCAATATGTCAGCTTTCTCAATGTTCTCATCTGAGGTATTTACATACCTATTCAATGCGAAAATCCAACCCTTGGAATTTACATCGATGCTTACATGACAACACATATCGCCAAAATCAGTATGGCTGAATGTTCAGGTATTGCATCGTCGATCGATAAATTCTAAGCAAAGAGCCTTGGCCTTTTCTTGAAGAAAGATACAGCGCAGTATATTTGGCTGCAGTTCGAATACGTTCTCCGATAATCAACTACACAACTACAGTACTGAACAGTGACTACAGCTGCGCTTACGTAAACCATTAATTTTTAAAGCATGAGCCTGTGGTGAGCGGGGGTGGAAAAGAGAGCTTAATGCCCACAGGTATTTTGTACCATTTAATCCTGCTGCGCTTTGGTCATGCGGTGTCGCAAACAGCGAGTGCGATTGCCTAGTAAACTGAGGTTTTGCTGTACCCGGTAAATTGATCTCCACATGTTTGCGAGGCAATTTTCCGCACTGTTTCTGTGCTCCTTCCAGAGATTCTTTAACAGCAAAATGTGAAGAACCTAGCGCATTTAGATCCTGCAAATGGTGAAGAGATGTTAAGCCACGTAATTAATTATCGTTGTGTACTGCAACGGTCTCCGGTGCAACTCGGTAATAAACACGCTAATCGTTTGAGAAGTGGCCGGAACTGCTTGAAGTTTGTGCGGAAAGACCATGCTCATTGGCTTTGTCACGTTGGTTGCTTCGTTACAACCATCAGGGAGTCATGATGATGTCGAAGAGAAAAACGCCAGATCTCATATTATTATTTAGTAAACGTTAGATCGTCCCCTACGAAAGAAAGAAGCAGCGGAAGTCGAGATTACAATAAAAATCTAAACAATATTTCTGAGGAGTCGCTTATAACCGACGCTCGTGACAAGCTGGTTAGAAAAACATTCACAAGATAGAAAACCAATGTTTCCGCTTCAGTATTATTCAAATACCAGCAATCAATCAAATGTACCATCAAACCATTTTACATTATGCCAGCATTATGACAATATAAACAAGTTGGATCAGTCCGTTAACGACTAGTGTCGCCAGCGCTACTGCAGCTAATATTTTTACCACTAGCTTGACCTTCTCGCTGCCCTCACGTTCGTCCATGGCGTCCAGGAAGCAGGCTCCAAGTGGCAGGAGACCGATGGCCAGGCAAATCAAACCCATGAACAGTGTAAACACGAAGGGTATTGAGTATTCCCTGACTAGCGTCAGCATGCGGCCAGCGAAGGGTTTGAACCAGGGTTCCATCCACCAACCTTGGGTGCGGGTGGGTAATGTGGAGGTGTCCAAGACAACGGAGCGTTGTGGAGAAGGAGTAGGGTTAAAGTTGAGATTAAGAATGAGGTTACGGCTTGTGGAACCATTGAGTTTCAGGATTTGGCGCAGATGCTTCATTTCTCGGGTCAAGCGGTCAACGCGGGAACTGCAGAAGTCTATTTTTCATGGTGACAAGAAACACCTAGGCTAATGGTATTTCCTATGATTTTTAAAACAATTCCCCAAATCTCAGATTCTATTTAAGCTATAACAGATTAAGTTTTGCCTAAATTATGTAATTGCAATACAAAAATGTAATCCTTGAAACTTATTCCAAATTAGTGAGTAGCGCATTTAAAGCGGTTTTAATTCGTCAGAGGCTGAAAACAAACCCGTTCGCCTGGTCACTTGAAAAATTTCAGCAAATCGGTGCATCAAATGGACAACTGGTTTTTGCGCCCTAATTTTGTAGCAGAGGTGTCTGGTGGTAGCCATTAGAATTGTAGAATTACGAAACGAAAATATTAAGGAATATTAAGCAAAATGTACGGTACAACCAGCAAGTCATCTGCCGTTGTGATAAAGTACTCTGTACGTACCTCAATAATTGCCCACACGCCGCCATTCTTTCCATTTTTATGGAGGCTGGAACTGATGCATTCAACTTTCCACAAGTGGGCAGCTGATCGGTTACACGTGAACATGCGCCGTACATCGATGCCATCAAAACCACGACAGCCGCAATTAGGAAACGGGCACGTTGTGGTTTCATATCGGATCCCAGCTGGTAATACAAAAACGCGAATGCTGTTTGCTTACTAAAATGTTGCTTTTCGATAACACAATACTCGTATTTTATTAAAAACGGCAGCGAGGCGATATTAATTGATCGAAGAGTACCGATAGGAATACAGAGTAGAATCAAAATTGGTGCAGGACAAATACGCGCTACTCGATGGAAGTGGAGAACGATTGCCAGTTGTCTTCAGGCTCTCATTTAAGAATAATGACAGTATATATCCGTTCCGCACTTCCGTTTATATCATGTACATTCCCTTACCTGCCACCGGAATCAGCGTGCTTGCTTGCACAGGAATGCCTCAGAATCGATTGGCAGTAATTTAATTGAGTTGTAGCACACGCGTCACATGAGTATCTGTGATTGTACATAGCGGCTTAATTTGTGGGATGCAAAGCGTTCCTCTTCCAGCTCTGATATACCATTCTCCTGGTGCACCAGAAATTTGCGGGAGCTCCGTTTTAATTAACACGGCGTTGCTGCCGGAGTCATTGCTAGTGAGCTGGCTAACGCTGCATTTTTCCCGGTATGTTTTTGCCGCATATGTTTCCTGGATCGTGGCTTGTCTATCATGGACTGAATGTCATTCTTTTAGCGCATAGAATTGTGCTGAAAATACAGCTCGCCACAGCAACCGCACCAGCAGCCAAAGAACCGCTTACTGCACCGTTATGTGATCACTTGTGGATCCTTTCGCACCCATCGCCGAGAAAATAAAGGTTTTGGCGGATTGTATTACGTCAATCGGGTAATGTTGATAAGGCCTTTGTGATCGACGTCTCCAAATACATAATGATAAAACATAAACGCATTAGCGCTTGTGATTTTAGACTGATTTAAACTGATTAATTTGTAGGAAATTCGGTTACCAAAATACAGAGTTGCCGAAAACTGCTGCTTGTCAGATAGTTGATCTTGGTTAGTATCGAAAGCATGTTATCCGCAGCAGTATTCGTATTTGCTAGGATACTTTGTATGACCTGGAAGCTCATTACAGTGCTAGAACAAAGTTGCTTAACCAGAAAAACAGATCAACGCGTTACTGCTGGATGTATTTATACCATCTATATCGTTCTCTTCCGTCAAACAAAACTACCTTTGCTTTAATCGAAAACAGAGAAAAACGACAGCGTATTCCAGCGGAGCTTCTGTACATCTGGTACATATACCGTACAGTACGCTTTGACTGTTCGGAGTCTTTGTCTCATGGCACCGGATAAGTACTAACCTGATGATTGTTTTACCATGTACACGCTATCGTACTGTAATCGGTCGACAAAATCTCTTCATATCAATATTATTGGAAAATTTGATCATAGCAACGTCCCTTTATCGTTTTCATACAAATTTCTGCTGCGATGAATGTATTGTGCTATTATGATATAACAGCTGGATTTGTCAAATCGCAAACGCTGCTTGAAATCTTGCAGAACAGAACGTCACCATGAGAATAGCATTCATACCAATTAGAAGCAATCACAAATATTTGCACAATTCTGCTTGTAAAGAGAATTTTGTAGCAGGCACAAGTGTCACGGTAAGGCTAAAAATAGCACCGGCAGAACGGAACTTCACGCTGATTTTCTGAATTTTTGATAGCCTTGAAAATGCAGTATCGGCTTCTATTGCATTAGCCCCTCTTCCTCACAGTACTGATAACCCGCTCGAAATCGGTTTTTGCTATTTGACAAGTTCTTTTGCCTGTTTTTTTTTCTTTAAAAATGAGTTTCGCGTTGGCAAAGAACCTTGGCCAAAATATCAAGACATATTCTAACAAACCGAAAAACAAAACAGAAAGTAGAGCGCAAGCTCGATTTGCATGGATGATTAGCATGGATCAGCAACCATGATATGTAATTGGCAAGCTGAGAAAAGTAAGCACCGATGGATCTATACATACGCCAAAATCTAAATAGTATAAATACGTAAATGATGGCACCATATAAATAACGCAGACCGATTGACAATCGCTAAACGGCGCTGCTAGTGCTAAGCATGCAGCTCAACTAGCTTTTCCAATTTTCGACGTACATTTCAGCCAGCGTTACGGAAACATAAGTAAACTGCGTGATAACGTTAAGCCCCAGAGTAAAAAGCGCTATGTGAGCTAACCATGTCACCCAAAGCTGGATCTTTTTCTCAATCCCTACACATTGTTCCATATCTTCCATGAAGCAGTCAACCACTGGCTGGAAAGCAGTGTACGTACAAACCACGCACACCATGGTAATGATCCTGACGGACTGAGGGCTCTCTCTGTACAACTTCCGCACCGTGGGGCCGAGCGCAATGAACCAGGGCTCCATCCACCACCACGGGTCGGGTTTGCGCGTACTGGGTTTGGTGGCGATGGGGAGACTTTCTAGGGGACGGTCAAGGGACTCCTGACCTTCGAGGATTTCGAGCTGACGTGCCATTTCGCGGCCAAACTGACGGATACGGAAACTGCAAAAAGTAAAAATCAAAAATATGGAAATGTTTCTAAGTTTTGAGGGGTTGTTATGCGCTTCCGAAAACTTTCTTTCATTATTTTACACCGTTTTTATTGGTTTTTTTGTAGCCAAATGACTTATCAATATTGGTTGCAAATCGTTTCTGTGCGCAACACCCGGTTAAGAAAAGAACGATCCCAAAAGGTTAGTTGCTCAAACGCAAGCGGGTACACCCTAGTCTCAGTTTGGATTGATAAGATTCAAAATTAATTTTGGACCTGAACGCATTCAATCTAAAGTATAAAAATGATTTGTTTAGCAAACCAGAGAAACAGCCAGATTATATGTACTTAAATGTTCTAAATGCAAAGAGAACGCTTTCACACGGAAAACGGAACCAATGTTCTGAATCTTTTCAAAGGTTGAAATAGCTTTTTGCATCAAATTTTAGAGTTCATTTAAGGATCTCAAAAACATCGTGTAGCTTGGGCTCAGAGAAAAGTGATCTTCGTATTTTAAATTTATTACGATCGGTGAAGAAATATTTTCGAAGATGATCGGTCTAAAAGGATACTTTTGGTGCCTGAATTCGTTTTTGATTCATTTTTATTAATTGTGCATTTAAATTCACTTGATTTGATGTTGTGCACACAAACGTTTTCATACGAGGATGCGCGTAGTCGAACCGAAAGTAGCGAATTTTAGATTTCACAAAACAAGTTCCGTCCAGTTCCACTTTCGGTTAGAAGTTGGCGTTACGGGTTGATTTACGTCCGTTCGCGACGTAAGGCGCCGTAACCCGCGAGAAGGTTTGTCACGCTCTCGGGACTCTCGATTCGATTTATTTTTCCAGCTGTACGTCACTGCAAGAGTGCATCCGTACAAGCATTTTAAACACCGTTTAGTCTGCTAACGTACTGTTTATCTGACGCGGTAGTTTCTAGTGAACGGAGCCTAAACCATGTAAAATCAAAAATTTCCCTAGTGAATTTATTCAGCGAGACCAACCGACAACCATGTACAGAGTGCAGTAAACAGCCAACCTTCCACGGACGACAGTCACCTGCACCACGCTGATACAGTGTGCAACCGACAACCATGCACTCTGTGCATGGTTGTCGGATGGTCTCGCTGAATAATCTCACTGTCGGTTCGACTACGCGCATCCTCGTACCAATGCAGACATTTGTTGCGCTGTAAAACGAAAGAAACGGGAAATAAACAACGATGCATTAAAAATACTAAAATAATATCTACAATTGTCAAGAAATACCTTATTATGTGAGCGCACATCGACAGTCTCTCCGCCTTTATTGTAACTGGGATGGAGTCGCCTAATTTTTCGCACAATGTAAGTCGATCCGCTGCATTTAAACCGGTCAGCTGGTCCCTAACAACTGCGCCGCGTACCGCCACCACAAGAATCGCCAACAACGGAATTATAAGGTGGATACGCTGCACTTTCATGGTGGATCAGCCCTAGTTTTATGAAGAACAGGGATACATGGGCTTGATTAAGCAGTGCAGCAACGCAGCACAAAATTGATTGTGAAGTTTAAGTGGTAATCTGACGTGTTTCTTTTTCTTGTACCGTACCAGAACTGTGCGTTGATTTATAATAATAAAAAGATTTTTATTACAGTTTAAGTCCCAAAACCCTAGAACCAGAATGTAATTTCCGCTACCGTGAGTACTGATCAGTATATCAGGTTCTCGAGTGTAATGTGAAGGGAATCGTCCCTCCCCTTGCAGTTGTATGATACGCCTCTATGTATGATCCAGTATCTCTGTTTCCGCCCCTTATTTGGGAGTATATATAGCGATGATGTGTATGAGTTCCAGCAGAGTGTTAGGGTTTCAGTTCTGGTCGAGTATTAAAGTTGTTTGCCGAGTATTATATTTTCACCTGCCGTTCCTCGCCACAGCAATCTCATCGGACTGTAAGATAAGGTGCATCACTTACATAGTGAGTTCACGATAGAACCCGTGTTATTTTCATCGATGACGTTATGCCAGTACATACTACATAGTACATAGCACCTATGCATTCACCGTACGGTTACTTAAATGAGCAGGAATGGTACATATATATACCGATCGATAATTACACGAGTAAGAGTTTCATGTACGAGTAAGGATACTTCTCGTTGGCATTTGCAATGACAATGCAGTACCACATACTCGGCCTAATTCAATATCTTCTCCAGTGATCATGTACGGCATTACTGTAATTACATTTTGCAGAAATGTTTACGTAAATTTCGTCTGCTGTAGGGCCCCATGGTGAGCGGGGGTGGAACGGCACGTTTAGTCTTACAATATTTTCAATCAATTAATCCTGCTGTGTGTTGCGGTCATGCAGCACAGGTACCGCAGATAGCGAGTGCGTTTTCCGGTTTCACTTTGCCTTTTTCATCGTTTTCCTTATTTTTGCCTTTGCCGCCGTTATAACCTGGCCGCTCTCCTTAAGGGAAGCACGAAAACAAACTGGCTACAAAATGCAACAAAACGATGCAAAAACGTGTCTTGGAGTACAAGAAAGTAAAAGTCGTCCGGTATGTACCCAAATTTGGCACCATCTGTCGGATCACTTCCCTTAAACTTCGCGAAAAGTCGTATCACAGTAAATAACATTTACTTTAGCCTACCATCGTTGCATCACACGACCGCCGATATTTACCTGGTTTAACGACGCAAGTTTTGATACGAAAAGATGTTAGTAGCGCATCGTAATAAATCTTATACTTGCTGCCGACAGCCAGCTGAGCATGACGTTATGGCTTTACTTACGATTAGTGCTGACGTACCGCGGGCGTAAAGACGTATGTATTATAGACTAATCTACTGCACTTCCCTTTTGTACAAAACGGCACAGAGATCCTTCTGACACGAAATAAGGATCCCATCAAATTTTCTAGTTTCCAGCACAAAATTCTCAAATTGTAAAACTCGTTTTAAAATTGGAAAAAAATGCCTGAATTGCGGTTTGTAGGAAAGCCTTCATAGACTCTTCTGTTCAGCACCGTCCCTGTGGAAAAGTCATCCGCAGAACAATACATCGTGCCGTGAGCAGCTGAATTAATAAATCGTAAGAGCAAATTGTGTCTATTTTTGTACAGTAAAAGGTGATCTTGTGGAGTAGCCATTTAATCTATGAAGAAGCGATCACGGGATATGAATGCGTGCTTAGCAGAAGGCGTAAATCTGGTATGAGGAAACATGACGCTTACAGTTCGCTCCACGGGGATTGCATTTTCTGATTATTTGCCTACGCTTGCGGCTTCTCTACGTTGAGCCCTACTGGTGCCGAACTTCCAGGCGAAATCGGGGTTTTGAATTAATTTTTAGGCGAAGATAGTTGCCAGCGCTGCAGCACAAATATTATGTAGTATGTGAAGCATAAGTAAACAAAACTACAACGCGACAAAGATAGCTTTTGAGCGGGTATTTATTACTGCAATGAAACGATGCGACCGTGCATTTTAAAAACATCCCAGCTCACGCTGCCCCGGCATGCATACTACCAGAAACGCAGGTTGATTTCTATAGGCTCTTTAGGGTTTTTTTCAGCGTGAATTTCGGCCAGCGTTAGGGCAATATAGGTAAACTGCATGAGAACGTTAAATGCCAGCGCACCAAGTGCTATTACAGCCAGAATTCTCAGCAACAGCTTGATTTTCTCGAAGACTCCGCATTCGGCCATGGCATCCAGAAAACTGCCACTCGCTCCCAGGAGAGCATAGATCAGACAAGTCGCACCCAAGATCAACCCACTGTTGATGGGACGGGGGAACGCTTTGTACAATAACCGCAGTTCGGGGATGACGGATGTGTACCAGGGCTCCATCCACCATTGCGGGCTGCGGTTGACCGGTGTTGTTCTGCCGCCGATGATGATGCGGGGTTTTTGTGGAGGATGATTAAGGGACTCCTCGGCTTCGAGGATTTGATGCAGACGCATCATTTCGTGGATGAATTGACGAACACGAGAACTGCAGATAAAATGTGTTTAACAAAGCATTTAAAAGACATAACAGAATTTTTTTCTTATTTTACGAGAAGCGTGGCGCCACATTGCAGCAAATTCGTACACGTGAGCGGAAACGGCTGCTTTTCTGCAAATTCAGGCACCGATTTCCGTTGCTATATGTCATTGTGTAACCAAAACATTGATATGAAAACCGCTGGGAATTATGAGGAAAATAAAATTCCAAAAGGGCAAAAAGCTGCCAGGTTAACCGAAAGTCTCATTTTGAACCGATAATCATGCTTAATACTTAAAGATTTTGCCATATTCTTCCCTCCACAACGTCCCAATCGGAAACGCCGGTTTTCACACCAATGTTGACAATTCGTTTGGCTGTAAAATGGCTTCCTATACAGGCTTTATAGAAATCCCCTAAATGGATTCCAATAAATTCTAACTAGAACTAACTCAGGCCGCAATAAAACTCCCACTAATTAGTAGTACCTACTATCTACGTACAGTTGTGAAGATGTACCTGAAAATTTGAAAACACGCCGAATCATTCATCTGCATTGTGGCGGGGGTGGAGTCGTTTAACGGTCCGCATACGTTAAGTGGATCCAGAAAGCGCTGGACGGCCCCCTCATTCCAGACAACTTCGCCGTGCTTACATTTCGCTTGACTGTTAGCGGAAAATAGCAAACGGTACATCAGAATTTCTAAATGATAAGTGCAAAATTAAAGTGGTACCTTATCAGGTCGGCGATCAGCGGCAGTCTCTCCGTCTCCAGTGCGGCTGCGACGGAGTCATTTAACTCCCCGCAAACGTCAAGAGGATCCAGAAATTCCCGTTTGGCAAGCTCATCCCCGGTAACTTCGCCGTGCACCGCTGCGATAATAACCGCAGCCAACGAAATCACAAGATCTGCACGCTGTGCTCGCATTATAGATCAGTGGTGGTTCTACAAAGACCACGGATGAAGTGGCTTATTCGTGCAGAGCAACAGTGCGGGACTGATTGCGGAATGCAGTTACCCAGAAGACTAGAACAATTATATATGTTCTGTTGGTAGGACCGTAGATTTCTACTGCTCTGAATGTCGATCAATAGGGCAGGCTCCTCGAGTGCTCTTGTCTAAGGTGTTTACGCACCTAGCCAGTCCACAATCCAACCTGCGGAACGTAGATCGATGCCTACATTACAGTACTTCACATATGGCTGAAATCAGTATGGTTGAATGTACAGGTATGGCATTTTCGATCGATAAATTCCACGCAATGAAGATGATCCACGATCCCGATCGCTAAATTACACTTTTCCTTGAAGATGGATGCTGTGCCACAAATCCGTTCACAGTTCCCATACGAGTTTTATTAATCACATACGCCATTCTTGTAATTACAGTTGTTACGTGAAACCTTTATAAGGCATGGGACCTGTGGTGAGCGGGGGTGGAAGGGATTGACTGCCTATAGTGATTTCCTACCATTTAATCCTGCTGCGCTTTGGTCACGCATCGGTGCAAAGAGCGAATGCGCTTTCCTAGTACTCAGAGGTTTTACTGTACCCGGTACCGTTTTTATTATGGAAACTTTGGATTTGGTTTGTGTAGTTCATGGCTTCATGCCGTGAACCGTGAAGTACAGGGAAACCTGGAAACAACAATCCTTTAATAATGCAGCTTTTAATACGTAATGCCAAACTGGTCAGAGTAGGCAGTCATTGCACGACAATCCGATTAGAAAATCACTCGTATCATGAACTATATAAAGATTGTGTTTATACCTGTACCCCTACAAGCGCAGGTCAGCGATTTTGGCATGCATGCAGTCTGACTCGAACTTCCGCTTTAGTGCGTTTAAGCGGAAGCTTCAGCAAGCGTTAAAATAATGTGGAAAAACCGCAGGAGAACGTTCAGTACGATCTCGGTTTATTTTCTTTGTCGACCGAAGCGTAGCGGAGGTCCTGTATGTTCAGCGTTTATGAAAAAAGTGGTGTCCGTCGGTCACCGCCACCTAATGCACATATGCGCGGGTTCACTATCAAACGCACATATGCGCGCTGGCCGTATATACTCAAGCCGCAAGCAAACTATGGTGTCCGTCGGTCACCGCCACCTAATGCACATATGCGCGGGTTCACTATCAAATGCACATATGCGCGCTGGCCGTATATACTCAAGACGCAAGCAAACTATGGTGTCCGTCGGTCACCACCACCTAATGCACATATGCGCGGGTTCACTATCAAATGCACATATGCGCGCTGGCCGTATATACTCAAGACGCAAGCAAACTATGGTGTCCGTCGGTCACCACCACCTAATGCACATATGCGCGGGTTCACTATCAAACACACATATGCGCGCAGGCCGTATATACTCAAGCCGCAAGCAAACTATGGTGTCCGTCGGTCACTGCCACCTAATGCACATATGCGCGGGTTCACTATCAAACGCACATATGCGCGCTGGCCGTATATACTCAAGCCGCAAGCAAACTATGGTGTCCGTCGGTCACCGCCACCTAATGCACATATGCGCGGGTTCACTATCAAACGCACATATGCGCGTTGGCCGTATATACTCAAGCCGGAAGCAAACTATGGTGTCCGTCGGTTACCGCCACCTAATACACATATGCGCGGGTTCACTATCAAACGCGCATAAGCGCGCTGGCCGTAAATACTCCAGCCGCAAGCAAACTATGGTGTCCGTCGGTCACCACCACCTAAGGCACACATACATGGTCCCCTTATTATCAGATACATACAGAGATACACGCTGTCCGAACATGTCCAGGCCGCATCTCAATGTGTCTTTATTGGTCACCATCTCTTTTGATAAAATGTCCAGTGGTACGGTAGCCATATACAAGTGCTGCGCTGCTTAATTAAATTTTCGGGGATATATTTCTTTGGTACCTCAATTTTGGCATTTCGCGTCACGATCTCAATCTTACAATCTAGCAGATAAGATTATATTGCGTTGCCCGAAAGTACGGAAAAAGTCACAGTTGCTCGATGTGACAAGCGCAATACCGGCATGGGTATCTGCGTCCTTACCTGACAGCAACTTCATAGGGTGGCTACTGCAGTACTCATTATTCTAAAGTGCAAGTATTTCCAAAACCATATTTTACCACCAGCCCGAGTTGCGACAATAAAATTTTGATATTATGCCGGGAAAGTTATTAACTTCAATAGGGAGCAAGTAAAAAAATTAGGCTCGTGCACAGATACAACGTTATTCGATCCAAGTTTTGTACTGACATGCTGCGTAATATGTTCATGGGACAAATCGCCACAAGGAGGGTCAGCCCGTTCCGGTTTTGAAACAAAGAAGGTAGAATCTACACACCAGATAAATTAAGAAATTGATTTTGGGAATTGATTACAATAAATACCTGTGTCGAAATACAAGAGGCGGTTCTTTGACCATATCAGGAAATGCGCTCTTCTTTTTTTGTGAAAACTGCGCGATTATTAATTTTTTTACAAAATATTAACTTTGAAGAAGGCAGCTTTAAATGGTTCATTCCGGAAAAAAACCGTGATGCGAGCACGCTACGCTTCGGTCATGCAGTGCCCGCAATAAGCGAGTGCACTTTCCTAGTAGAAGTGTTATTGGTAACATTTTTTTGGTAACGTGTTATGGGTAACAGGGCTTTTAAGGCTGCAGTATTGAAATCGGGAAAATATTAATTTTAAATTTTGTTTGTTGAGATTTGTAAATGTAAAAGGATGGTTCTTGCGTCTCATCCGGTTTATAGTTCTACTTTTGTTTCGTTTTCGATGAAAACGTATTGAGAAGCGCTCCACCACCTGATCACCGGCATTTGGCCAACAGCCCGCCGCCGTTACAGCCGCATCAACCGCCACCACCCTCGCAACCCAGGCCTGGTTGAAGCTGAGTAGTGCAACAGAGCCCCCTCCAGAACCAGTCCGACATGTCCAATTGGCTTGGGACAATCCAGTCTGTCAGGCTGCACACACAAACGTTTGCAGCACTCACTCGTATTTCATCTGAAGAAGTGGCCACCCTTAAAGCAATGTCGACTTCGGAGTCTGGAGCGTGGTCGCACGTCCTTCCCGCGGTATGTCCAGGCAGCCTGCTGGAGTACACCCCATTCCAGATTAGCGTCGCTCTCCGAATTGCTGCCCCGATTGTGACTGCGCACATTTGTGTTTGTGGTTCCGAAGCCGATGAGCCAGAGTAGGTAGACATGGTCTCCGGTGTAAGCGATCAGTGGGCGTCTCCCCAGGCACGATGGACTCAGCACTGAATTCGCCCGGGGTTTAAAAACGGCCGGCTTTCCCTTTCCATAACTGAGTCCCAGGGCCTGTCAACGGCCGTCAGGAAACGTCCTGAACTCCTGACGTGATAACGTTACAGTAATCCCCTGAGACCATGGGAAGCCACCTAGTGGACCGCATCGGGCGCGGAATCACTATATCCACTGGCCAGCTGCCTTCTAAAGAGTTTTTTCGGCAGCGTTTGTCATTCCAGATTCAAAGAGGGAATGCGCTGTGTGTTGTGGGAACTTTAGCGGACACGGAAAACATAGCAGACGTGTTTTTGTTATAGCTTGTTATGGTGTTTCCATTCTATTCGATCGATATCTGCGGATGTGAAATTGTGAAGTAGAAAAAAAACAATGAGAGAAGCCGTTTTATATCCAAACCAAGCGTCGAAGTTTGTTTTGTCAGGAACTTTTATTACCTGGTGATCCAAATATGAAACTAACTCAAAACACTTTTTAAAAGAATCTGTCACATTGCAAAAGCCGATTTTGAGCAAGTAATTAGTACTTTGATAAAGCAGTGGTAATTCTGCAGGAGCCGAACCGCCTTTTCTACGCTACGAAGGATCTCCTGGCCGAATACATATGTTATTAAAGGTTCAAAGAACAGCTATCAGTGTCATTATCAGAGCCGGGAGAACACCGGAAAGCAGGCTTGTTTTATTAGACGCTTCAGTTCTCCCGTAAGTAAGAAAAACGAACATCAAGCTGGACAAACTGGAGAAAGAATGGACAGCATCCAGGAAATATGCAGCCCCGACGCGCTAATGGCAAGTGAGAAAAATAGGCATACTCAAAAATATACTCGTAAGTCATAAATACGTAACACAGACCTAACAAATACGTATTCGCTTAAAGGCGCTGCTGGTATGCATGCAGCCCAACTAGTTTCTCCGATTTTTAGTGTACATGTTAGTCAGCGTTACGAAGATATAAGAGCCCTGCATGATAACGTTAAATGCCAGTATCCCAAGCGCTACATAAGCTAACATTGTCAGCAAAAGCTTGATTTTCCTATTAATCCCTACACATTGTTCCATGGCGTCCAGGAAGCAGTCGATCGCTGGTTGGAAAGCAATGTACAGACAAATCGCCAACACCAGTAGCGTGGTCTGGACGGGTCGAGGGAATTGCCTATACACCATCAGCAACTGGGGAAGAACCGATATAAACCAGGGCTCCATCCACCATCGTGGGTCGCCGTTGGGCGGGAATATGCTGACGATGGGGAGGCTTCTTGGAGGACGATCAGGGGACTCTTCTGCTTCGAGGATTTGGAGCTGACGTGCCATTTCGCGGCCAAATTGACGGACACGAAAACTGAAAAAGCAAAAATCATGGTTGTGCGAATGTTTCCAAGTTTGGAGTGTTGTTTGTCGGTCCATAGCATAGCACTAAATTCGTGTACCAGCTTGTCGAGTAATTTCTGGCACATTAACACTGCCACATCGCTGGAAAACTGTTTCTGTGCGCAACACTCGGTGAGAAAAACGGATTCCGAAAAGGCTATTGCTTAAATGCAAACAGTTCCACCAAAAGTCTCATTTTGGTTCGATAAATTTAAGAATTAAGTCTGCACCAAATCGCATTGATTCAGAAGTTTGAAGATTGTAAAAATAATTTTAAAGATCGGTCCAAAATTAGATTTTTGGTGCACGAAATGTGTATTTTAATTCCCCGTGAATCAACATTGTGAACACCAACGGTTTTCCTACCAGCGCTGACATTTTGTTAGGTTGTAAAAACGAATCGTACGGAAAATAAACAACGCTGCAACAAAAAATATACTAGATTGGGAAGAAGTACCTTATTATGTGAGCGCACGCCGATAATCTCTCCGCCCTTATTGTGACTGGGATGGAATCGCAAAACCTTTCGCACACGGTAAGTCGATCCGCTGCATCTACACCGGTC